CGATTTATTGCTGCCCGGCACGCTTCCACTCCGGCACTTCTCCGTCACGGTTCAGCAGAGCTTCGCACAGCGATGTAAAACTGTCACCAACTTGATTCAGCTTTCAGACAAACACACAGAGTCCCGTTTGTCTCTATACAGCTTTTATTTCCAACATTTCTCAGGAATTTCCAGGACTAGTTGCAGCCATCACAGCACTACGTCCTTTTCCCCACAGCTCACATAGTGGGACTGACTAGCTCCTCCCAAACTCCTCCCAGCTTCGAAAAGTGACGTCAGAATGGTGTAGCATCCTGGGAAAAGCTTAACCCGTTAAGTTCCAGCTCCCCTATAATCCTAGAAAGAGTTAAAAGCCAATCAAGCCAGGCTAGCTTCCTGGTGAGGTAACTCCCTAGGTGATGGGCCATTAAGAGAACAAAGGAAAGGTGCTTCTGTGCCAGATACCAATTGAGTGGGGCCCTTCCTCCAGCTGTCAAATAGTTGGAAGAATAATGCCTGAGCTGGAGGGCAGAGTTTGCTGTTATGTGAGCTAGAAACTGGAGAAAAAGGAGCAAGCAAAGGGTCAGAGGGCAATGTTTGACTGGCAGGGAAGAAAGAGCCTTTATCCCAGTGCTGCAAGCAGCCCACATGTACATGTCAACCATCCCCAAATGTGGGCTCCCTGGTTGTTGAACTACAACCCCCATCTTCCCCAGGCAACATGCCACTGGGCAGGGATGAAGGGAGTTGTAGTCCAGCAACGTCTGGGGACCTAAGGCTGGAGCAGATGGGAAGTCCACAGATAGAGAAACTGCAGCCCATTAAACCTAGAAAAGGGACTTGGAAGACATAGATGGAACCTGCGAACAAGGGATCAAACCAACTGTGCTTCCGTTGAAATGCAATGTAATAAATAAATCTCTTATTTTGTTTACTTATTTATATTTATTTCATAAATTGTATACATTGCTTGACTGTAAAATAGATAGAATAATACAATTATCATTAAAAACAATTCTATAAAACATTCAACAAAATTTAAATCCACAATAAGTCGATTACAACACACATCAGCATTCTACATATCTGGGTATTGTTTCTGTGAAGAAGCACAGCTTATCTTTTCAGTCAAATATCTGGCAATCTTGACAAGAGCTAGTACCGACAGAAAATAAAGATATATGCATTCTAATTCTGTAATCAAAACACTTCATTTATTTGTATAATCAAGCTATCAAAAATTAATAAGCAGCTATGGAAGGTAAAGAAAGGTTTTGTTGTTCAGATTTAGTATGACGTTGTTGTTGTTTTCACTAGAAAATGGAAGAAAGGGAACCCTATGCCTTTCAGAGACCCAATATCCAGCTTTATGCCATTCCTCTTGATCGCTTTCCCTCCCATTTCTTAGCTACCCACCATGGCTTGAAGGCTGAGAGAAGCAAGCCTGGAGCCTCTTGCTTTACCTGCTCTCCCCATCCACCACTCTCTGCATAACACTCTGAGGATAACAGCCAAAAAATCCTGTTCAGAAAAACATCTGGTGACTCCAGGCCTTGATCTTCTGAAGTGCAAATGCGAGCAAAACAATTATACCGCATTCCAAAATGAATTATCTCTCAGCCCTGTTATTTGGGCAAAAACAGTTACAAGCCTGAACATTTGAAGTAATTCCGCCCCTGAAACGATCATCAAGCCAAGTCCTGTACAATAACAGCAGGGGGACTAAGCCACCACTGAAACTGTCTCAATTTCAGATAAGGACAAAACCTGAAGGCCAATTTCAACATGAAGGCCCCACATGTGTCTGCTGAAAAGTCCTTCCTCTGGCAGCACCAAATTGACTGGCCATGATATTTAAGAGCATCAAAACATAAGATCCCTGCAGGATCAGCCCAGGGGCCCATCTAGTCCAGCATGAACCTGAAGCTATGTTGGGTGGCGATAATGTACCTGATCCTATGTCCATTTTCACAGTAGCAAACCCCACTGAACACATCAATTTCCAAGTAAATATGCAAGGAATTTTGCTGTTAAATTCAGGATTCCAGGCTGTCTTGATTTTTACAGGTGGGATTCAACTGCATGCTGGCAGATTTGTTGTTGCACCACCTCCTTGCAAACAAATCAGAATGACTGCTTAATAAAGAGGTCATCTAGAAACTACCTTAGATGATATTAAATGGGCAGATGGAGAGAAATGCGATGGAAGTTGGCACAGCAGACAACCTCACCTTTGCCATGCGGATGTGAAACAGCAGAGTCAGTATAACCTTCAAAATCAATAACACCCTACCACACATTTTGCTTAGGTGACCAGATGCAAAGGAGAGAACCTTTGTGTTTTTAATAGTTGCATGTCAACCTGCACTTGCCACAAATCCCTCTTCTGCATACCTGTTAAAGGTGCAGGAACCATCTTTTGAACTGTAGTATAAGTAGCCTTTTTTGACAGATGCTCTTAGCTTCTTTCACACTGAGGTCATTTAACAACCAGTTGGCACAAAGATTTGGGTGAACATGCCTGAAAAGGATACTCATCGTGGAATTGAAGTGTTGCTTCATTTACGGCCCGCAGTTATTTTCAAACCAAACCATGTATTTTGCACGCCTTTGATTGATTCATTTAACCCAGCGATGCATCATGGAAAATCACATCTGTTCCTTACTGCAAAGTCAGAAACCTGATCTTTGACTGTTTCTCGCAAGCAGCCTGATAGGAATCGCTCTGTGCTTGAGCAGATCATAACAAAGCCGGAGCCCTCGCACGTAATCCTGATGAAACAAGTTGTGGCTCTAGGCTGCTTAAAGGGCTGGAACTTTCTCCAGGAAATGTAATCATTGTATCTCTGTGAAGTTGGGGCAGAACATTAATCAGCAAGCTTTTCTTTTAGTGATAGGTCTTGGGGAAGGGCGGAAGAAAGAAGAAAGTGGTGGAGACAAACAGGACTGTACAAATCCATGCATTTATTTTACCTATTGCATCTTTAGGCTTCAAAAGAGTAATGACCCTTTAACGCAAAGCCAAACATGGCATATTACTAAGTGTGCAGTCCTATGTGTGGAGGTCAGAAAGGAGGGTGGTGTGGCTATAACACAGCCCTATTCCCCTTCCCTCTCCTCTTCTGGCTGTGTGGGTAGGGCTACATGCCAACCGGAGGTAAGAATTTCTGTAGACTAGGGATGTGTGAATCCCAACTTTGTTATCCTCTTGTGTGGTCCCAAGTCCTGTCCCCCTTTGTCTCATCCAACAAACAGTAGGATTTTTCCCTGTCATTTATTTATGCAGTGAAACATAAACAGTTTTTTAGGGCTCTTAATCGCACATACAGTTAAACCCTTTTATTACGCTTTCATTACATAAGTAAGCACATTTAACCTCCAGTTTCTTTTGTTAAGTAGATGGTCTGACACATTCCCTTTTCTGGACCAGATACTGTCAACCACCCCTGTGATCCTTGGATGACAGGCGATGTAGAAATTAAATAAATACGGTAAAATAATTAAACCAGATTTAATTTTGTGGCTCTTTTGTGGTACTCAGAGTGCGCACAGAGTTTCTGGAGTAAAGATGTGTTGCCTTGAAATTACACAAAAAGTGCCTGGAGCTGAAATTGAAGGTATCATTAAGAAAATCAAAATAAACAGAATTTGATGTGAAATGTTCCTAGGAACCATAGACAGTGATGAAATTGAAACTGAGATGTTCCGACACTTGTTCAATGCCCTCTGTGGACTGGAATTATGCTTTCTATCCCAGTGGACAGATAATTATATAACGTTTCCAAACTGGCTAAACTACGGTAACTTGTCACCAGTAAGAAAATGGAACAAGTGGCTCAGAAAGTTTTTCAAGTCATTCAAGAAAAACAGAACTGATGCTCAAATGTGATTTTAAAAACAAAAACAAAAAAGAGAGAACTCTACCAGGAGTGATTTTCAGTGTGGATCAATTTGGTTGATCAATTTGGTACAGAATAAATGCCTATATAGATATTAATTATTCTTAGCTGGAGAAATTTGGTTTTCTTTTTAAAGGTTTGGAGCAGTTTTTGCTCTAGGGCGAGGTCCCTGGGGTTTGATTACATAAGCCTAGAGGTGGCGGACATACAGCATATAGCTCTGATGTGCCTTAGACATGGTGACCTATGAAATTTATTACTGTATGTGCTCCATAGCCTTGTGACTTTCAGATCATATCTACCAGTTTAAAAGGCACGTGTTTCCCCCCTTTTTCCATTTTATTATTTATTTCAAACAGCTCTGATGTGAGCTTGGAAACTTTATGGGATACAAGTCAGAATTTGTGAGCTTAAATGTCAATTTTTCTTCCCAGGTCTCTAGGCAGCCGTGCCACTTTCATCGAATCAACTTGTTATTTCATGGCTGTGATGCAGTTAAGAGCTTTGCTATGTTAGGCTTTTTGCAGTGAAGTGGGGGACGGGGGCGGGGGAGAACAGACATGCGTGCTTCTAAATCTCTATAGAAAAAAAAAAGGAAAACAGTGAGGTCTTTAAAATGAATTTATTTTATCTTTCAAGCATTGTTTTCTAACAGAAACCAATATCTTCTGAGGCTTTAAAATCAAATTGCAAATTACATTTGCAGCATGGCACATACGAGGTCCAAACCCGAAGAGGAAGCAAGGGGATTCTTTTATTTCCAAGAAATACGTTTTATGCTTATAATGTTTGGAGGAAGGCTACAACTCTGAGATCCCCTTCACCTGGCAGTAAGCCTGTAATATGCAAACATCCCTCTTGTTTATGGCTACTTCCTGCATATGATGAACAGACAGCATCATAGAGAGAACCATTATGTTACGATAGGCAAAATTGCAGTCATCAGGGTAGGTTGTGCAAATCTGTCCATCGGCAAAGTGGATAAATGGCAGTAAATGACAAGTTTGGTCTCATACTTCCTGCAAAGCAGCATCTACTTCTTTATCTTAAGTGACTGCAAGAACACTCTGAGTAATCAGGCTATGATTTTGTGTAAAAACCATAGACTGGCTTAAGACACTTTCACGTGTTGAAAGTGACAATGGGCAAAATCCCTTTGGCAACTTCAGTGACTGCTAACTGAAAGTCGAAGGGAAAATTTGTTCACCATGACTATATGGATAGAAATAGTGTTAAAGAGTTGTCCTTTAGTAATCTTCAAAAGCAGAGAATGGTAATTATTGCCTGTGAAGCTATGGAAATAGAACTGATATATGTGTCGAAATGGTGAGAGTGATAATAATTCTGAGATATGAAAGTGATCTCTTGCATATCCCAAGATTCTATAGACTTTTAAAAAAGAAAGTACAGGGAATAACACACACAACAGGTTGTATTGGCATTGTTACGTGGCTCTTCTGAATGAAGCAAATGGGAGCAGTTTACTATGCTGTTTGCAAAACCCATAAATTGTTTCCATTTTAGTATAGCTATGCATCAACATGCCCAGTTCTTTGTGGTTGCTAAAAGGCTTTAATGGATGGACAGACTCCCATTCTGTCCTGTTCCTACTCTTAACTTCCCCCTTCTCCATTCATTTCAGTGCAACATAATACTTGTGAATGTTACTGTTATGCATCATCTGACAGTGTTGCTAGCATGGTGGTGACAACTTACACTGTCGTGCCAGACAAACATCACCATCTTGCTGATGCAAGCACCAAACCACAAGTTGCGACAATGAACAGCAATCTTTGGACTAATGGCTTGCATGGTAGATTGGAGGTCAAAGCCCATTAGTGAAGCTTTCAGGTTTCTTGTTACAAGAGCAGGACATTGTGGCTATTTCATTTATTCATTTTTCATCAGCCTTGCAGAGCTGTGTGCAGGTTAGTGAGCAGACTGGTAGCAGAGTACTGTCTGTCG